AGGTGGGGCCACCTTCCTCCGTGTTAGCAGCCACCTCGTTGCCCCCAGAGCTCGGCAGTGCCATCAGTGGTGGCTCAGCTGTACTGATGGTTGTTGTTGTTTCTCAGTGTTTGTCTTAAATATTTGAAAATGTGAGGGTGGTGCTCAGCAGTCTGCTTCATCATATTAGTAAATACATATTTAAATATATATGTAAATATATATGTATATTTAAATGCGGCGTTGCTGTAGGGCGTGTCCCTTTAAAAAGTCAAGCGTGTTCTCAGTGCAGCACTGTGCAATGATGCTGCGTAGCAACCTCCCTCTGACGTCAACGAAGACGAGTCCTGAGAGGTAGCTCAACACTGCCACCTATTGTTCGCTGCCGGTAAATGGCCAGGTGGGACCATCAGGTTCTGAGGGAGCTCCTCCTGCGACGCTGCCGCTTCTCTGATCCAGCGTTAATATGAATGACATTGTCGTGGTCGACGTTTCTCATCATCATCATCATCACGTCTCATCAATGGTCTCCTGTCTCCACAGGTGTCTGATGTAGGATCAACGAAGTTCTTCTCACCGACAGCTCCTACAGGTGAGCTCTTCTTCTTCTTCTTCCTCTTCTTCTCCTTCTTCTTCCTCTTCTTCTTCTTCTCCTTCTTCCTCTCTTTCTTCTTCCTCTTCTTCTTCCTCTTCTTCTTCTTCTTCCTCTTCTTCCTCTCCTTCCTCTTCCTCTTCTTCCTCTCCTTCCTCTTCCTCTTCTTCTCCTTCTTCCTCTTCTCCTTCTTCCTCTCTTTCTTCTTCCTCTTCTTCTTCTTCTTCCTCTCCCTTTTCTTCTTCTTCCTCTTCTTCCTCTCCTTCCTCTTCTTTTTCATTTGTTGAAAACTAACTGAATGTTCTCTGATCTAATCCTGCGACACATTCACTCTCCCTGTTGACTACACACATGTATTCACTCTTCCTCCTACCCCCTCCTCCACCCACACCCTGTGCCAAGAACCCAGTGAAGTCTGAGCTCTGGTTGATTTAAGAGGATTTGCAGCTTTTCCTGCCACATGCTCCCAGTAATGGTTCAGTCTCCTCTGACAAAACAGGCTCTGAGGTGAACATGGTGGATGTCAGAGGACGGGGGGGGGCACGGGGTTAGCGGGGGGTGAGGTGGGGAGGTTGGCTAGCAGGGGCGTCAGTGCAACAGAAACAACAGCGTGTGTGTGTTTTCTATGTCAGAGTTTGGACAACAAAGTTGTTTGTTTAGTGGGAGGAGGGTAAAATGTTGCCCCCTACTGGGAACCCACTGTACATACTGACTAGTGGTGACATGTTGAATTGCAGATTTTAGAGTTACTTATTTTATTCTTACTTACGTTTTTAACGGATGGCTCAATAACAACTTTTTCAAGTACGATACCGATACTGTAACTTGGGAATATCTGCCGATACCGATATCAGTCCGATACCTTCTTGTCGACTCTCTGTTTACGTCAGGTCGCATTACGTTGAGTTTTTAGGCCTAGGTGTGGGATTGTACCGGCTAGCGTTCACCTACGTAAAAGTCCATCACCGACTAAGCCGGACCAGCTGCGACATCGCCAAGTCCACCATCGGACTACCTCCGGACCAGCCGGTGCATGTCCGATCTAACCATATGAATGCGACACTTCCAATCGGCATTTATGAGGCTAACCCCAGACTTGGCCGAAAACTTGCACGTTCTTTGAAAAAAAACACGTATTTGTAATACCATACCTTTAGCGTGTTTCACCTCAGATCAGAGTTGGTGTGGTTGACCTTTGACCTCAGAAGCTAGGTGAATTCTATTGGCAAGAATCTGGTGATCCGATACTGTATCGCGATATAGCGTATTGCGAAATACTGTGCGATACGATCCTGTCAACCGTCGTCAGGTTACTATGGAGGATATTTATGCGGTATCGTGAAACGAAATAGCGCGATATTTCAGTGCATCATTATTTTTCTGTCATATACTGCAATTATACGTCATCGGTTCCTTTAGCTGCGCCGTTTGACTCGGGTCTCAGAAGAACCAGCCATTTTAGTGTCTCTGTGAAGGTGATAAGTTTTTTTTTTCGTGGTGCTTTTACACCAAGTATTACTGTAATAGTAAACAGTCGGAGCCGAGGGCCCGGAGCGGGAGCTCAGCGGCTCCGCGGGGCTTAGCTGCAGACGGCGGTCTAAGCCGGATTTAATAAATAGTTCCCATTAAACTGACTGGCCAACACACACACACGAACATATTTTAAAGGCACAATAAAAAGTTTTTATCGTGATGTTCAGACCTTCCTGAATCTAGAATGATCAAGAACAAGGCCCTGCCCCCCACTTTGGGAACCAATTACTAATGGTTTTCCTTCCATTCACTTATCACCTAGATTTCCTAGAGGACATGGAGCGGAGGAGTAGCCGTAAGGTCAGAGGTCTGGAGAACCGAGGGCAGCTCAGGAATAGTCAACCAGTAGAGGGGGCGTGTTGGTATTCAACCCGGCGTTTCTGGTGCGCTCGGGTCGGTCTGGTGCGTGACTGACCTTGGCGTCTGGTCTGAGCCATTAAATAATGGATGGAGGTTGAGTCTCTGACCGACCAATCAGGTCCTCAACCACCACTGACTTCGGGCTGGTGGAGGGTGGGGTGGTGGTGGCGAGGGTGCAGCGATGACTGCAGGGCAGAAATGTTGCTGGGAAAATAACAGCGAACAGAAACTGTCTTGTTGCCAACTTCAACTTTCCCGTTGACTATCGTTAAATTATTGATGTCCATGAACCGGGGTTTGAGGATGGTTGTAAAAAAGTTTTAGTTGAGATTTGTCCCCCATCGTCTGTCGACAAACCCATGTATGACCCGCCAAGTTTGCTCTGATTGGCTAGTACTCATTGGTTGGTTGGTTGGTGTCCTTGATCATCGTGGGAGGAAATAAATCTCCCGATATAGGTATACACAGGCAACAAGGACGAAAAAGGACTTTTTTTTGATAGACCTTGGTCCTTATTTCTTCTATCAAATCTGGCAACTTTGGTTTCCACTCCAACAGAGTCTGGATACAGTATCTTTAGAGGAAATCAAAGGCAACCGTTGTTGTGAACTAGGGGTGTGTGTCGGCAAGAATCTGTCAATACGATACCTGTCTCGATACAGGATCAACGAGTTGCTGTGGTTGCAGTGAATTATATTGGCAAGAATCCGGCCATACGTTACGTATCGCGATATAGTATATCGTGATATATACCACGATACGATCAATGGTGATGATAAATCAATAACTGATGACTGAGGAGATTGAAACGGGATCAGGAGAGGAGATATTGCGATATTTCAACATGTAGAATTTTTACTGTGAACTAACAACAGTGCCACCTATGAACTAGGGGTCTCATGGTTCTGAGTGGCTGGCCGCCCCTCCTACTGCCCCCCCCCCCCACCCCCCCATCAAAGGAGTGGCTATAAACGAGGAGTGTGCTGCAAATAGGACGCACGATCAATCGTTGATCAACTCATCACCGACAGATTGTTGCTTTTCCTTCAGGCCTGCTCCGGGTACAGAAACGACAATTAGAGAATTCCCAGCATGCACTGCTTCCCCAACACTCTGCGAAGCTCTGTCAGAATGAGATGTGTGCTTTACGCAGTGCGTAATTCTTCCCTTATTATCTACAGACTTTAGAGCAGGGTGTTAAACATAGGGCCCGCGGGCCAAAGCCGGCCTACTGGGGTGTTCAATTTTGGCCCGCTTGGTGCATTTTGAGATGAAAAAGATTTAGAGTTAATTATGTACCATCTACCCTGTGTTATTAAAGGGGAAGTCTGTTTTTTTTTTTTCCTCTAATATGGTATTTTGTGTTGGCAATATTGATCGTAGAGAGCAAATAAAATACGAGAACTCCAGATCACAGCAGTGATAAAAAAAAATAAAAAAACAATTTATCGTGGAAGATGACAATTAGCCTCTAATTCAGCTTAGGACCAGGCCATTTCTGACTGGTCCATCTGAAGCCGGGCCATCTGGCTCCAGGACGACCATGGAGGACCAGACCCGTGCCAGGACTCCAGATGTTCCACAGAGACACATGAGCAGCAGCAGGAGCAGCAGGAGGAACAGGAGGAGGGGGGGGGGGAGCATCAGCATCAGCTGGGCTGTGACAGAGTCGTCACAGGAGAGGCTGATGTCTCCAGCAGGGGGCTCCCCTCCTCCCTTCGTCCATTCATTTACTGCTGACGCAGACATGGGTTCAAGTCCCAGGACTGTTTCCCCCTGGGGAAGAAGTTAAGTTGTCATCTGTTGAGGCAGACCTGTTGACACCCCCCGTCCCTCACCCCCTACCCCCCTCTGGGGAACATCCCCATGTCCCCATGGAGGTGGAATGGCAGTTTTGTTGCTTTTTCATTTTTCTTTTTTTTTTCTGACCTCATTATTTATTATTGACCACACACGTTACTGAGCAAAAGTTTTAGGCACGTGTGACCTCTGACGACCTCCCGTCTCAGTTTTTTTTTTTTTAAAGCTAGAAAAAAATGTTTTCCGTCCGACCGCAGCCATTTCTCTAAATAATTCACTTTTTCAATTTTTTTTTAAAAATAATTGTTATGTCCACCTCGTGTGTGTGTGTGTGTTGTGGAGTGATTTAATGAGATGGGGTCGGGGGTCGGGGTTGGTGGGGGGGTGACTTCTCTCTGCTTCCATTAGAGCCCATTAGAATCATCATTAAAAAAAAGCCAGCATCACTTGTAGTTCCAGCTTTCCCCCACTTGGGCATCAGAACAAGTTCCTACATCCAGATCCCCCATCAGGACCATGTGACTGTGGGTATCAGCCTGGAGGTCACCTGGTCCATTAGTAGACCAATGACAGCAGCTCCCGGCTCTTCATATTTCTGGTTTATTATATTTCTGGCTTGTAGAGTATTTTTTTTCCATACTGATACTGCAGTACCAGTGTAGAGTACTACAGTGTCGTCTCTGTCTGTGGCTCTGATTCTTCCACGATGGTGAACTTCCTGTTTTCACTGAAACCAGCAGCTGTGATCAGTTAAGAAGCCACAGACAACACGCTTTTTTTTTTTCTTTCTCCATTTAGATTCAGAAAAACTCTGAAAGCCTTTTCTGGGTCAAAGGTTTTTTCAGATGCTGCGTTTTTTTCCTGATGTGATTGAAAACTGCAACGGAGAAGTAAAAACGCACCATAACTTCTCACTGCATTTCTCTGCTGTTTCCTGAATCCCCTCGTACTGACTGTAGTGAGAGATTATAGTCTGTAGTATCGCAATATATCGTATAGTTGCCCCTGTATCGTGATACGTATTGTATTGCCAGATTCAATCGTAGAGTTGCCCCTGTAGCGTGATATTTATTGTATCGCCAAAAACAAACTCAATATATTGTCGTCTCTATAGTATCGCAATATATTGTAGAGTTGCCCCTGTATCGTGATACGTATTATATCGCCAGATTCAATCGTATAGTTGCCCCTCTATCGTGATATGTATTGTATCGCAAAAAAACGCCACCTCAATATATCGTCGTGGCTATAGTATCGCAATATATTGAAGAGTTACCCCTGTATCGTGATACGTATTATATCGCCAGATTCAATCGTATAGTTGCCCCTCTATCGTGATATGTATTGTATCGCAAAAAAACCCCACCTCAATATATCGTCGTGGCTATAGTATCGCAATATATTGTAGAGTTACCCCTGTATCGTGATACGTATTGTATTGCCAAAAAAATACCCCTCAATATATTGTTGTCTATAGTATCGCAATATATTGTATAGTTGCCCCTGTATCGTGATACGTATTATATCGCCAGATTCAATCGTATAGTAGCCTCTGTATCGGTATATGTATTGTATTGCCAGATTCAATCGTATAGTTGCCCCTCTATCGTGATATGTATTGTATCGCAAAAAAACCCCACCTCAATATATCGTCGTGTCTATAGTATCGCAATATATTGTATAGTTGCACCTGTATCGTGATATGTATTGTATCGCAATGTATCGTAGAGTTGCCCCTGTATCGTGATATGATTTGTATCGGCAAAAAAAACATCAATATATTGTTGTCTATGGTGTTGCAATATATCGTATCATGATATGTATTGTATCGCCAGATTCAATACATATCACGATACAGGGGCAACTGTACGATATATTGCGACACTATAGTATTGCCAGATTCTTGCCAACACACACCCCTAGTCACTAGTGTACCCTGGTTGTTTTAACTAGGCTAACTCGGTCCAGACGACTGTTTGACTGTGGTGTCCTTGTCCCTCCCCAGGTGCGGTAACACATGAGAGTCCTGAGTCCAGAACCTGTGGTGCAGCCAAGTTTTCGGGTATTCCGCGGAGTCAGGAGCGCAGCAACGGTGAGGTACTGTTCACGCCACCCGTGCCTAGCCCCACCCCGGCCTGGGTGCCCACAGGCTCCCCTGCTCCTGCTGCTGCGGCGGCCCCTCTGGGTTCTCCCCTCCCCAAATTCTCTCCACTTACTATAAAGAAGGAGGAGCTTCCAGCCCATGCCCCCACCTCCCCTCCGCTGCTGAGGCCACTCCCCCATGCCCAGCCCCACCCGGAGGAACGCGTCCTTCCATCCCTACAGCACGACGCCCAGCGGGTAATAAGCCACCAGGGGCAGCACCACCCTCTTCAACTCGGTAGCTTCCCCCTCATCAGGTGGGTGGTCTCTCTCTCTCTCTCTCTGTCCGAGTCGGTGGAGCCGAAATGATTTCATGACGACGATAATAACATCATGTTTGTCTCTCTCTCGCAGCAGCAGCAGTCCGGTGGGTTTCACCAGACCACCCCTCCCCCAGGCCTTTCAGCACAAACCCGGCGGGCTTTTACCCTCGCCCCCCCCCCTGCCGCTGTCCATCCCCGGTCTCTCTCCCTCAGAGTACTCCTACCTACGGAGCCCGGCCCATCGCCATCCAGCCATGTTCGCCACCTCAGCCGCACTGCCTCCGCCTCCCACCTTACCAACCAACAGCCTGGTGGTACCGGGTCACCCGGGCGCCGTGCCGTACCCAGGTAAGTTGACTGTGTAGAACGCAGAACGTGACGAGAACGTCCTGTTCGTGACCAAAAAAACGTCATGAATGTGATTTGACTTTAGGCGAATGTTGTCCCTCAGTCTGCCTGTGAGAAGAGCTCCCCCTGCAGGTGCGGAGATCATTCCCAACAACATTAACCACTAGCGGCTCTCTAGCGGGCACCAGCCTAAGGGGTTAGTTAGTCCGGCTGATCGGGGTCTTAGTCTCTGAGATCCACCACAGAAGTCCCTAAAAATGAGAATAGTCTTGAAACTATGTATTTAGATTTAGATTAGTGGGAAATATATCACATTTGACAGTCCACGGGGGAGGGGGGGCAGGTTCTAAACGTTCTACCGGACCCCGTCCAGATGAACAGTCTAGGACTGTCTTTAAAGGGACATTTTTACTGAGACCGGTTGAGAATTTTATGGTCCAGATTAGTCACAGATAATAAAAAACAGGTGAGAAACACTGACCTCTAGCTGCTGATATTTTTTTTGTTCCAGTGATGAACAGAAAAAAGGGTTTTATTTTTATTTATTTATTTTTTATTTTTTCGGATTAATCCTGATTAATGATCATGATTGATGGGGATTAATCCAGAGCCGGTCTCTGATTGGTCAGATTGATGGTTGGACGACACGCGCACAGACCGTCATCAGAGCTGGAGAACGAGTCAATGTCACATGATCAGAAGCCGATTTAGTCCAGGTTCATCACCTGCAGTCTCCCGACTCTCGGTCGGGGAACTTTCACGATCCGGTTCAGACGCTAGCAGTCAGAAACAGCAAGTGCCGCAGTAGAAGTTTCTCCAGCGTTGATGAGCGTCTCCAAAGTCCGTCGTCCGTGCGCCGGCCTTTCTGTGCACCGACTTTGAGAGCGACCGTGTGTTTTCTGCTGGGATGACTCTTGGTTCTCTCTTGTCTTTAGATACCAGCCTGTTGATATCATTCAACCAACCAATAATGTATTGCCAGCCTCATTCGGGGATTCTGATTGGCACATTGTCACAGGCAACTCTCTTACCACCACCAATGAGTTCCCACGTAGAAAACCCTCACAGCATGAGCTGGAGAAACAGAGAATGCCAGGTGACTATTTTCTCTCTTCCTTTTTTCCTCTGTTGTCAAGACTGACGCGGCTTTCGTGCCACTTTTTTTCTTTTGTCCCC